ATGTGGCCAGTATAAAAAAAAGCAGCACCTGAAATTAGAGGCTTTTAGGCTAAAATCCTCTAATACTGTTAAGATGTTGGCAAACTCTGGCCTGCATGGCTGGGAGAATGAATCCTCAGGCAACAAAGCTGCATTGGGCGACCACAAGTTACCACATGCTCCACTGTTGGCCTGACACAAGAGTCCAGCTAAGTGAAAGCAAGATGCTCAGAGCACTGATCAAGTGGTTCTGGGTGATTTTTGGGACAGCCGTGCTAGTAAGCTACCAGCCCTTTGTTATCTATTATCCCCCTCAGCAGAAGGAAATGTATACCCCTTGTGTCATACAAAATAGCACCTCAGCTTCACGAAGATGGTGGCACCGTGCTCAGATGTTGGACTTGCACCGAAACACCTAAGCTGGAAGCATACATTTCCTTCTGCTGGACCCGCTGTGGGGGAAGCAACCAGGCAGAGTGAGGTGGCGTATCTAACTGCTGAGCTAATTACTAAGTGAACCTCAAGTAAAAAATGCAAAGTTGGCAAAGCACCTTCCTTACAGAACGTACAGCATGGCATAGAGTTTAGAACAGACCATGTGGTGCTGAAATTGGGTATTGCTAAAACAGTCTCAGTAAAGGCAGTGGTGGATTAACTTTTTTTTTTTCCCCAGAAACAGTCAACAGTAAAATACTGCAAACTTAAAACTGATCTTCAGGCCTAATTGTCTAAGGAGACATGATTGGTACAGACTGAATGCTACCAGTTCATAAATCAGAACATCCCTGGAAAAAAACCTCCTCCTTTTTTCCCTCTCCTCCAAAAGATCAATCATCCTCTACCATCAGCAAAAGCATGTGAGAAAAACAGAAAGAGAGGAGACTGACAGTATCAGAGTCTCTAAAAGACCAAAAATTCAATTGCTGTAAGTCTGGTTTTGAGGCTCTCAGGGTTTTTTTTGTTGTTTTTCGAAGTAGCAGCACAGACATGCTGAGGCACCAAGAAGTGGGAAAATAAGCTGACACCTGAGCAAAGACAAAATCTTCTTTGGCATTAAAATCAAACAACAATATATGTTTTGTTATTTTGCTTCACCTTTGAAATATTTTTCAGTGTGAGTCCCAAAGTTCTCAAATGACAAGTTGTGGACAAAGCACCACAGAGAGAAGGGCTTCAGTTGTACAGCTTGGCCATAAAATGAAGTGGCTTTCTGATGTTCTAACATACAAAATCAGTGCAACTTGTAAATATACTCCATTGGTATTAATCTGCATAAAGTGAAGACAAATGGATTTCTTGCTTTCATGGCAATTGCAGTTAACATATCTCCCAGATGAAAAGATTTTAAACTTTCAGTACAGATTTGCACTTGCTGTGCAAACAGAGCTAAATATTTCTTAACAGCATTATTCAGGCTTCACAGTGTCAACCCCACTCCTTCCCACAGATCTACCAACCGCCTGTTCCCGGTATCGAGCGTGCAACCTCCCCAATCCCATCACAGCACTGCACAGGGGAAAAGTCCAGAGAATAAAAGAAAAGATCAAGCACAGGAAAACAACATAACACTTCAGAGTAAAACATCATAAAAGGCGCCAGACCCCAGGGGACTCAAAGATGGCGCATGTTTAAATTGAAACTAAAAAAAAGAGCTGCTATAAAGGGAGGAAAGCAGCTGCTCAGAAGAAATAGGAGGCCACATGAAATAGAAAAAAGTGAAACTTAATACAGCCTTGACTTTCAGCTCCTGAAAGTAAAACATCTGAAGAGGGTGACAAGCATCTGAAGAGGCTGCCAGAGTTTCTTTGCTTCTGGGCAAGAAAATTTGGACAGATTATTTTATTCTTATTAAAAAAAAAAAAGAAAAAGAAGGGAAATTGCAATTAGAAATCAGGCATGACATTATCATGACCACCCTGACACATTTTAACAGTTTATCAGCAATTCACACCCCTCCTCCTTCTAGCAGTCTCAATATATCCTTCTAAAAATGAGATTCCTCCCATCACTTGGACGTACTTGACAGCAGAGCAGCAAGAGGAACTGCTCACCTCTGCCACACCAGGCGGTTGCAAGTTCATGTGCTAGAAGCTAGCAGGAACTTTCAGTCTAACTTGTACAGGTAAGTGCAGAAGACAACCATAGCTAAATAGAAACATCAGTCGTTTCTGACATTTAACTTTATGGGTAAAACTTGAAAGTACTGAAGCAGGAAGAAGGGAGGAGGCGAATAAAAAAGTCTAAATGTCTTATTTCACTTGGAAATAATAGCTGAAGGTTTCCTGGGTCTTCTGTGCAGCTTGTTTAGAGAATGGCAGAGCTGGCACCAGATTTGCTTCCAGTGTCCATTTCATTAGGTGGCTTTGTCCTCCTCCCTTTTAACAGCAGATGGGCTGCAGAACAATGGTTGGAAGGGCTGCTCCACTGGGGAGTTTTCCAGGGGCAAAGACATTATAGTGATCACTGCACTGAAAGGAAAGCTGAGTAGACATTGACAGCACATCCAGATGCAAAACTGTCCCCTTTTATTTTTTCCCCTGCCACCTCCTGTCCTTTCACCAGCTTACTACTGTCTGTATTAACATTGCTCCCTGCTCCAACAGGCTGACAGGTATTGAAAAAGACTGGATTTTTAAGGAATGTCTCCTAACGGACTGCAGGAGAGGGGCACCAGAGTGACTGTGAGAGTCTAATCCAGCACTAAGGACCCTGCACACTTCTGCCAGCTTTTTTTCCTCTTCTGAGGAAGTTACATGGCTTCTCGTAGTACTCACTTTGAAACAATTCCCTAAACTCAATAAAGTGTCTTAGGGAAAACAGGACACAGTGGTTATCATTTAGCATTTTGAAAGTCTGAGACTGACTAAGAAACAATGTTTGACTATGAGCTGGAAGACAAACCTTTTTGGTCAGGATTGATAAATGATGGGAATACAGAAGAGTGGAACCAAACCTTGCAGATGCTGGATTCCTTTTGTGGACAAGTGAGTAAACAACCCTCAGAGCAGCATCATTCACAAGCACCAGAACGGAGAAAAAGGTGTTCTGTTTGCTTGGAGATGGATATTGCAGTTATCTGCCGGCACCAGAAAAAAGTTCCAAAGGAGAGCACACATGGGAAGCAGGTTTGGGTGTTCCCTTCCCACGCCAGTTGTTAAGTTACAGGTACATAGTCCTTCAGCCAGGGGCTGTACCTTCCCATGACACACTCAACTGGGCTTACTGTTAATGAATCTCTACAGAGCTTTTGTTAGTGCTACCTTTCTGCTTTCACAATGAATACCGGTTTGAAGAACAGTAACTATGAAAAGCTATGAAATATTTTTTGTTTCCCCTAAAAAAGCTTCTATAATTTCACCAGCATCTGCAGCATCCAGTAGTGTTTGAATCTTTTAGTAGGAGATGAAGATACTTCATAGTGAGAGCTCCATTCTGATTATTTTAGAGTTTATACCCAGGAAGATCAAGACACCCAAACCACTTGCATCAGACCATTAGTGTGGCAAGTTCCATTGTGCTATTCTGAACAGAAGAAAATAGAAGATCTTCTGTACCAATGCTATTTCCTCTTGAAAGACCCAAATCCAGATGAGAAACTCTGGAGCGCCTTGCAAAAAACAGTGCAGGATAATCAGACTGCTTATCCTAAGAGGCCCCAGCAAATTAATCCTACAAAAACCCAAGCAGCTGAAAGCTCCTTCCTCCACACCCAGTAACATCCAGTCGCCCCAGCTTTCAGCAGAGGGCTGCCAGGCACTCAATTCAAAGTCACAATTTCTAGACCCCTTTCTTCAGCAGCACTAACGACGCCAGATTTCAAAAAATAACCCCGCCAAGTAATAAGAAAAATCCACCTCTATTGCCATGTGGTCCCACAGCAGAGGTTCCTACCCCTTCCGATAGCACATCCTCCTAATCTGTTCTCAACAGTAAGAAAAACATTGACTGAGTAAGTAGTAATGCTCAATGATAGCTGATCATATACCATAGCATGAGGTTGTCAGCCCAATATTTCTTCTCTTTCTAAGGCTACAGGAGTGGAGGAATATATGCATTTTTATCCAGTTGTGCTTTTACACAGATGTTCCTCCAGGGGTGGTGGGGGTGGGTGGTAAAAAGCCGGAAGAAAACCAGCATTGAAAGCAACAGCCAGTGGTAGATTTGAAAATTTAGCCTAAGGCAGCTGAATACTTTCAGATATTCAATCGAGACACCCTGAGCTACAGAACCTTTTAAAGCACCCTTTTAAATAAATTACTGAAGTTCAGTTAAAAGCACTTAAGGATGCCTCTCCATTTAAACTAGGAGTCACAGGAGAACGGCAGAGCGAGAGAGCATGCAGTTAAGCGATGCTACACAGTGGAAGGCAAGAAGAACCAGGTTAGGGACTCCGTGCCGCCCCCTCCTCGCATGCCTGTACACCATGCAGTGTTACCACAGCACACGTTACGAGGACTCGGAATCCAGAGGCAAGTTCCCGTCAGTTCGAAATTAAAATGACCAGCACCATTAGAAAACCGGAGGTGGCCTGGGCCCCATGGAGGATCAAGGCAGAGGATTCCTCTGTGACTGGCTAAGGATGGACAGGCAGTGAGAAGAACCAGAAGGACAGGAGAAGCCAGAATCTCTTTGGCTGGAGGAGTAGAATGGGGAGGAGGCTGCATTTATGGAGCAGTTTGTGAAGCAGCTGCTGGAAGAATTGGCTTGGGGGAAGTTGGATATTTGCACTGCTGACGTAGGACTCAGGAGGAAGGGAGAATGGAGGCAGCAGGAGTAGCTTCCACGGCTAGCACGAGCAGCGGAAACGCTCCAAGCAGCTAGCACAGTGGGAAGCAAGGATGGGAAAAAAAATTAAAATATATATATATATAAAAAGGAAGAGAAGATCTTCACTGTTTATCTAATTAAAAAAAAAAAGAAACAGAGGAAGGAAAAATAAAAAGAGGAGAGAGAAGCACCAGTTGCAAAGAGTTCACAAGGCTTTTTCCTCCTTCCCCCAGTGTCACTGCTCTGGCTCTGACCTTCGGGGCCGGTATCTCCGATGGCCCGTTGACTTCCGCGTGGCCACTGCTGCGGTGAAGCCCACCAAGCAGCACAAGGATGTGATGCCAAATTTGGTGGTGTCTAGCCAGCTGGGTGTTTCTGCCTTCAGGTACTTCTCGGCTAAATGCAGACTCATCACTATGAACCACAAGACTGAAGCAAATGCATCAATTCTCCGGAGCCTGCAATGCCAAAAAGAAACAAAACAAGACACAAGGTAAGAGTTTAAACCCCAGTGAACCCCCCTAGGTCCCGAGGAAGGGGAAGGAAGGTAGCGAGAGTACACAGACTGAGCAGGTTACGTACTATCTCTTACTATGGTTTTACCATCTGCAGCCCTTCCCACTGCTGTAGTAGGTACTTGAACAGATCAGCTCCGCTCTCTACCAGATCACAGAGCTGCACACAGAGCTTTTCGTTCACAGTAATTCAAGCTTAAATTGAATGAACCAAGGCACAGATCCAAAGCAAGCTCTGCTGTCTCCATCCATCTGGCCGGCAACCCAGCACAAGGAGAACGGTACCACCCAGTACTACATATGTCATACTGGCAAACACTTACCCCCAGCTCACTGAGTCAAGACAGGGCAAAAGACCTCCAACATAATGCAGTTTTCCTTTAAGCGAAACAGAAGAAAAGAGCACAACCCACCTGATACGCCCAGCTAAGAATATGGCCAACAGGCAGGTGAACAGCCCAAGGACAGAGACCGCCATCTGGTGATTCTTCCCGTAAGCCCACGCGGCACTCAGGTTCTCCACCATCTGTTCTGGGAGCAGACGGAGCAGCTCCTGCCAGCGTGTCACCGTCACGGAAGCGTCATTTTTCAAGTCTGCATGTGAGCTTGTGCCAGTCCTGCTCTGAATGGGCGCTGAACCAGAGGAGCCAGGAGCAGAGATTGCTGCACTGAGCGAGAAGGGGTTGCCCGACCCATACAAGGCCATCAGAAGCAGGAATGCACAGCTGAGGAAGGCCAAAAACCGCAGAAATATCACCTGAGCTGGTGCGGTTATGGAAGCAGAAGAGGAGGATGAACATAAATTCTGCAGAGGAAGGGAGAAATACTTTGTCAGAAGCTGAAAGAACTGTAGTAAGGTTTTGAAATGGTGCTTTATGAAACACTTCCAGACTGTATGGTTTACTGGACAGTTTTGCTCAAGTCCTTGTAAGTCTCTGCACTTGGCTGACACCACACGGGATGCTGCAGACTAACAGAGAGCAATAGCAGAGCCATGAGCAGAAGCCAAAGTCAGGCAGGGCAGCGAGGCAAGGAGAAGGTCATAATTCACTTCCCATCGTTCTTACTTCTTTTTTCCCCCCCTGTACACATAAATTGGATTCCCTGCCTCCCCTTTTCTGCCTATCCCACTGTTTTCCTCCCACTCTGTTCTTATTATTACTTTAGACTTGCCTTCTGGCAATTGCACTGAATGATACCAGCAAGAGGAAAACCTCAAACTAACATGAGGAGCATCAGCAGCAACTATCCTGTGCTCTTCTAAACTTCGGCCATGCACCCAAGCTCCCAGAGTCAGAGAGCCCCAAGGCACTGCCTGCCTTTTCCAGCAGCAGACCCAGGTGCAGAGGTACCTAGTCCTCTGCACTTCTCCCTACATTCTCGGATCTCTCCCTCCGTGTACCTGAGTATAGGTCTTGTCTGTCTCACGGCGTTTGAAATGGTGGTTGAGCAGCAGTGCCCGGAGCTGGCGATTCTGATGTTTTATGTAATACTCCACAGCAGCCTGGCACGGACGGCACAGCTTGTAGGTCTGCTCCAGATGGTGCTTATACACCTCAATCTCCTCATCATATTTGCCCTGGCAAGAGAACAGGAGAGGAAAAGCAGGTGAGAACTGCAGGTCCCTCACTAGTTACCATGCTTGCTGCTGACATGCAAGCAAGGCATGCTTCCAGCCTCCAGAAAAGCCCCCCTGAAACCAGGCCTAAACAGTGACCAAGCTGGAGGCCAGCCATAAAGCCAACTTCACATATAGCTGACCCAGCATCCATGTCCCAGAAGAGACAAAACTGCCCTGTTTTGTGGATGTTGAATTTCTGTGGCCCAATTTTGCTGTCTTTGTTGAGACCTTATGAACTCAACACAGATGATGAGACAAAAAACTAGAATTGCTCTTCCCCTCCTCAAATGAAGGGACACAAAAGATCTGTTGTTTCTTCATACCACTGTGCTGGAGAAAGAGACAAGCTCCTTCCAAAACTCAGCCCCAGACCTGAAGCCTGTCACTGTTTGAAGACTCCGTAAGTCATAGAATGGTTTAGGTTGGAAGGGACCTTGAAGAGACCAGGTTGCTCCAATTCCCATCCACTAATAGCACTTGAAAACAGACAGGGCATAGGGCTGAAGGTACATTTTTCAGCATCAATACAGTGGACACATCACTTATCATAGAGGGCTTCTACCTCCACTCCAAGGTTCTTACGCCAAAAGCATACAGCTGAAAGTATGCAGCTTCTTTGGGAGAGGGAATCAGAAAGATGCACTGTAACTGCCCAAGGGCTTGCTGTGGCAGTTTCACAGGCTCCATTCGCTAGAATTGAGACGGAATCACACGGGAGAGACTAGTAGCGGCAGGCTCATCCCTTACTAGACAGGCCAGCAATGCTGAGAGGCCACTGCTGTCACTGACACACATATCTAACCATGTTGGGTAACACGGTCCCATGTTTCTTAGCTGGCACGGACACTGCAGTTCACTGAATGCCTGAAAAGGGGCCAAAGGCTGGCATTACTTGAGCAAGTGGGTAGGTCTGGCAAGAGGCAGGGACTAGAAATAAAGCTGAGAAAAGGGAATCAGCCGAAGATGTTCTCATTAAGCATGATCAAATTTAAATCTGTTCCCTCGGAGTCATCCTGATTAAACTCATTACAATTACACAAAGCAGACTGGATTAGGCAACCCAGAGGATGAACGCATCCCACTATAGCACAGTCTTATAACCCCAAGGCTTGACCGTGGTTGAAAGCTAAGGAGTGCAGCACTAAATGTGCTGCACGAAGCTTTGCGGAGCCATGAAACTGTGAAGGAGAAACCCCCACTATCCTAT